TTTCCAGATAAAATGACGTTCTTTTGTGAAGACTTAATGAGCTTGACATGGATTGGGCGACATTTTCCTTCAATACGCTTGCCTGTTCACTGTGTCACTAGGCAATACATTCTAATTTCCAATAATAATATTGATTAAGAGTGCTTTCTAAGCATAGTCCTGATGGCGATTTTTTTTCCCGTACGAAACATTTAAATGAAACTTCACTCGGGCCATCTCGGATTGACTCGAGTGAGTACGATACGAGGAACAAGAGCAGACACTTCGCAATGTCGTGACGCTCGAGTTTTACTATTATTGCTCTTTCTATGTTTACCTACGGTAGGCCTATGAAATTTCACGGACTTATGTGATGTACGTCACTGTGTAACTAACTGTGACCTTCTTGGATGTTATTAAATTTTAGTATATTATCTACGACAACAGCTAGTACCTCCTGTTATAAAGTGTAGATAGGTACAGTTATACCAAAGGCTAGAGAGAAAGAGGATAAACTATAGGCCTAACTACAAGCGGAGGTCTTACCTAGGCCCCTCCTTAAACTAGGCCTAGGGTCATAGGCTGTCACAACAATTTTTGAAATTTTGGGGGAAAAATGGGACAAAATTGAAGCATGAAATGAAAAATAGAGCGCATAAGAGAAATATTATTAAATAAATAATATACCATTCCGGCGTTATTGAACTTTCAGCATTAATTACCTTTGGCCTAAGCCTTCAATCAATCAATCAATCAATTCACTTTATTGCTTCATATGCCATCGATGGCTACTATCAGCTTAAATTGCACATAAATACTTTGAACATAAAAACATTTAAAATAAAGCACATACAACTACTTTATAGAAAGGGCATTCCGGATGGTACCAATGTTTAATTCATCAGGGTCAAGATTAAGAGATGAAAGAAGACGTAGAGAAAATGGAAGGAAAGATTTATGAAAACGATCGGTTTTTGTAATTAAGAACCTACAGATACTGTACTATTTACTAGGCCTATAAATAATAACTAGCCCAAGGGGAATTTTTTTGTGTTATTTCCCCTTTGTCTAAGTTCCCCTTAACGTATTATTATTATTATTATTATTTCGGCATTACATGTAATTAACTTGGTCTAGCCTTGTAATCAAGAACCTGCCGATTACTATGCCTAATATTAATAACTAGCTCATTTTCACATTCATTTGGTGGACTGCCATTTTGGCAGGTCTTATGGCATCCAGTATTTTAGAGCTGCCTATTCTCAGCTCTTCTCTTACTTTGAAAATAACTGTCATTCTGTTTCATTTGATCAGTGATGAAGAAAAACACGCTTTTCCTTACTCTTTGTGCTTTTTTCCCAGAAAGCGTTTTTAGTAGGCCTACTTGTAGGCCTAGGTAATTATGCAAAACTCAGACCTAACTAAAAAATTGAAATTGTCATAGTATGTAACTCAAGTTAAAATAACACTTTTCATTACTCATGCAGCTTAATCAAATATTATATGTCATTTTAAACGACCCATTGGTATTAACATGGTAACATCAATGTATTCAGAAGTTGTTGTTGATGACCTTTTGACCTCCTGAATTCTGCAATGAGATTTTCGGGTCGATTCAGCCGAGACGGCCCGAGTGGAGTTCCATGTAAATGTTTCGTACAGGAAAAAAATCGCGTCCTGGCGTGCTGTTGTGCAACCTTAAAATTATGACCTCTAGTTATTTAATCCTTTATAAAAACAAAGTAATTATTTGGTTGTACCATTGTTGTCCATTATCGAAACATCTTTTCATTTTATAGAGTGGTATGGACATGCACGCTCTCTTCTAAACTCTAACGTATGGAAGTTGTTATTCTCAACTTTTTTTCAAAAAAATTATCTTTAAAGGGAGCCAATTTTGATGATCTCCTTTGGACTTTTTAAAGAGCCTGCATGTCTTCTTTGTTACGAGATAACCATGCACCAAAATAATTTCAAATAGAACGAGTTAGAGTGATGAAAGCGCTGAGAAAACTTGACAGGAAAAAAAAAGTTTTTCCTTGGTTTTGCCCTGTCTAAGTAGTAAAACACCGGGTACTCATTTATGCTCCTGGGAAGAGAGAGTCAAACGTAGGTAAAGTGTCTTGTCAAAGAACACAAGCAAAATTCACAGCGAAGTTCGGAACCCCCGACCACCTAGAGGTTGAGAGACCAAAACGCAACCACAGCGCCAACCGCTCCCATTATTGTTATTATATCATAATGACTGGACTTATAGATAGCTTTTACATTATATATATGATTCTGTCGAAATTCGTTTTAACAAAATCAAGAGGGGCTTGTATGTTACAGATATAGGCTACTTGTTCGAGCCAAGTTGGTAGAGGTTCGGGAACGCGGCTGAGTAATAATGAATGGATGACCTGGTAGTTTATATACTTGTTTTGCCTGTTTTCCCCACTGGTTAAGTTGTTAAAAATATGTATTTTGAAAAGTTTCATAACATTTCGTGGGACAGGAATCAGTATGAGTGAAAATGTTTTATTGGCTCTTATAACAAGAGATATTGATTGAAGAAAATCCTAATTATCCTAATTAAAGAAATTCTAATTAATATGCATTACGTTCCCTCAACAGCAGAAATGAATTAATATCAAGTTGTAGTCACAGAAAAAAATTCCAGCTAAGAAATCAATGATGTTAATCCATGGAGGAAGAGGTTAATCTATAGATAAACAATCTAAAAAAAAATAAGTCCTATCACCGTAATCTTCTTCTCAATTAGTGATAATTTTTCTTGTAATAATCAATTCTACACACGCTTATCACATACTAAACCCTTATTTTATAAATTTAATGTCCTTAACGTTTTTGACCTAAACAAGCTACAAACTCTTACTTTTATGTATCGTTTTAAGAACAACATATTACCTAAACATATTTCTTCCTTATTTCCAATACAACAGTCCACTATTCATAATTATAAAACTAGGTTCGCAAAAACAAATGTCTTATCTGAAAAATATTTATCTTCCCTTAGAAAGAAATCTATTTTTTACAATGGGCCCAAACTTTGGAATTCCTTCAATATTTCCTTTAAGTGTTTACCTAATATTTATTCCTTTAAATCTAACTTGAAAAAATCTCTGGTCTCAGCATATGGCAGATAAGCCTTCTGTTCATGTTTATGCATTATTATTATTATTATTACCTGTATCATTATTTACAAATTTTACAGCTGAAACTACATGTATGTGCATGTGCGTGTATATGTGTGCATGTGTGTATATGTATGTATGTGTGCGCATGGGTGTGTGTGTGTGTGTGTGTATGTATATGTATGTATGTATTTATTGCCGGTACTTATCATTATAGAGAAAATAAATGTTTCACATGTTGTGCTTTGTAAATCTATCTGGGTAATGTTATTCTTGTTATTTGTTATTGTAATATTTATACAGCACCTATTCTTTAGGTTACAAAGCGCTTTGTTGTCCATTGTCATTCGATAAAGTGTGCTCAAGGACACAAGAGAAATGCACAGCTAGGAATTGATTTGAGAAATTGTGTTAATATGCAATATAGAATAATATTTAATTCTTTTATAGTTTAAGGGTTTTTTTTATATATTCTATAACATTTTCTATTGTGTGCAACATTCATGTGGGCAATTTTCGAATTCTATTTTTAAATTAAATTTATTCATTTATAACCTTTATTTTCGCAATCGTTTGTAATATTGATTATGTATGTAAACTGGAATAATTCAATTAATTCATTCATTATATAATTTTAATATGTTTATTTAATCTTCAAGAAATGTTGTTAATATGCAATATAGATTAATATTTAATTATTTTAATATATTTTTTATAACCTTTTCTATCGTGTGCAATATTCATGTTAACCTTTTTTTCATGTTTTAAGCCGGTTACTCACTGCGTGCGACGGCGACGCGACGAAGAACGCACGCGAAGACGCGGACCCAACGGATGTCTTTTTAATGAGGATCCGTTCAGGTTGTTACTGACAATCAGCAGACGGCGTTGCGTCGTCTATCGCTCGCCGGAGGCAAATGTGGATTTATCGTGCGACGGTCGTACGACACTCACCGACTCAGTGAGTGTCAGCCTTTAGGGGCAGCTGACTCTTTTGAGTTTCGGTAATTTATTTGCTTTAGCTGTCCCTACCATCGTTTTGTTGTTTCTTGTTGTGCTTTGTAATGCTTATAATGGTCGAATAAATAAATTAAAATGAAATGGAATCCCACTGCCACTGTCTCTTTCACTCCATCTCACAGGTTGAACCTTTCTCTCTGCTCCATTTCAGGGAGATTGTCGTACCTTTGCCACCGCCGGCCACTTTCATCAACAACAGTATAAATAAATATACTGTACAACAATTATTGTTATAAAGAAATGCTTGTGTCTTTATGGTGTTTATTATAAATCTTAATACTGTTGCCACGTTCTGCGACTTAGTCAGTGACCTTTACATTTGCACATAGACCTTAATACATTTAGGAATATTACATTGAGGGGAATTGTCATCATCACTTCTACGTCCATAATCCACATCAGGAGCAATAACATCATCGTTATCAAAACTATCACCACCACGGCACCATTATTATTATCATGATCATTGTCATGTCCATTATTGTCATCACTATCATCATCGTCATCATGATCATGATCATCATCATGATGATGATCATCATCGTCGTCGTCGTCGTCGTCGTCGTCGTCGTCATCATCATCATCCTCCTCATCATCATCATCTATATCTGTTATCATCATCATATTCTTCTACTAGACCTACTTATTATTATCATCATCATAAACACAATCCTCATCAATAATGAAAACTATTAAATATTAGCACCTTTTTTTTTACAATATTTGAAGGCTCATAATGTTTTGAAAGCGCTCAATAAGTGGCACCGTAGATCTCTCTACACTCTTTTCTTAGCTGAATAACAAATCGTATATCAAACTCATTGTACTGGCCCGACAATAAAAGACAATATTGAAATCCAGTCGTATAACTGTGTTCACTTTTCATTCGTTGAACATTTATTGGTAACTGCAAAAACAACAAGCAATAGATGCTAATAAGACATAACCCAAAATTAGTACAAGATGTATAAAATGCAGTACTAAATATATCAAGGATATATGCATGTACCCTATCTTTCTTACATAAACTGTGCTGTCCTCTCAAGACATATCCAAGATTACTGGCTATATCCAAGATCACTGGCTATCCAGCTGCAAATAATTCAATAATCAAAGTCATGGATGGTACAGAAATTATCTCTAAAATATAATCACATAGCTGGGTGATGCAACAATTTCCAAGAGGATATACAAAATAGCCATTACCCTTTATAAACATTATAAAAACAAAGCTAGGCTAACACAACCTGAAAGTTTACTGCCTTAGGTCAAAGTGCGGGCTCCTACATACACGTTCATGCATAGTGTATCAAAAACTAGGCTAGATATGCTCATATAGAATCGTGCCCTAATAAGCACAAATATCAATAATCAATACTAAGCTAGAGTACAGCATTATCTCTAGCACATAAGCATATAGACAATTAGTTTTAATAAAACCTATGCAAGTTTTAAACTAACAATTTAACGATATTTACCTGAGAACATAAGGTACCATAACTACCGTTTTAACTAGCTGAACTGAAAACGCCCCAAAGAGGGCTCACTTCCAAAAACTCATTAAACAACAATATTAAAGACATTTACACTCATGTCTTAAATAATAATCACCATTCACTGTTTTGTTACATGTTTTTATTAGCTCTGCAACGGTCAAAACTGGTCTTAAAATTACTAAGTCTATAATGGAGTTGGTCGCCTAATTATTGACCTAGAGCTTAAAACTTACAAACACACTTATGATACAGCACATCTAAAAAGAAAGTCAAAAATGACCACCGAGCACTGAGAGACTGAAAATGAACACAGAATCTGAAGAACAGCAACGACGTAAATGGTATGTAAATGTCAAATCATACAACTCTGAAAGTGGAAAAATCATAATTAAAATAAAAATACAGAGAAATTGATAAGATATTTAATAAGCGTATAATACTATATTAATTGGCAGGTAAAATGTAGACTTTCCAGGCCCGTATATCCAGTAGGTGGGGTGTTACGAAGAGTGTGTATAACGCACCCAACCAAATTTGATAAGGTCCACATTTCCAAGACAGTCGAGAATGTACTGAATATTAATTTGTAATTTTCTGCGATTTAAAAATAAAATCTTAAATTTTTACATTTTAACCAGTAGGCCTATTCTACTCAGTCTGTCGTGATTCGGAAAAAAGCAATTTATTCAAATTTAGAAATTTTGGCTTAGGGGCACCCTGTGGATTAGATTGAATTGGATTTATTCGGTGTAAACACCAAGGATAGCCCACGAATGTCTAAAAGAATACTTATTTCCAGTGGGGTCCTTCTGGTGGTGATTGGGCAGGAGGGCCTACACCGGGAGACAATCCCCTACTCTTTTCCGAAGAGTGTACTGCGTTCTTTAATTTGCACATGGACCATAATGTAACTTGTATTTCAGCCCTCTAGCTGAAACACAAGGAGAGGCAGCGATGGGAATTTAACCGGGGACCTAGAGATCTCCACGGTTCAGCGCACATACAGTGACTACCACTAGATTAGCCGACTGAGCTAAGCTGCTCTCTCATAGTACCCAATATGCAACGCGATAGCTCCGCCCCTTTTTTGTAAACAAATCGAAATATGCATGTGCAAACCCGGATGTAAACTATCATGGAACGTGATCATATATATTCTTCGAAGTATGAAATTATTATGAGAATTATGCATTATATCCGACCGTCCAACCACTAAGCATTGAAATGTTGGCAATATCAACCAATCAAAAAAGACATTTATGCATATTTAATTACTTTCCCAGCTGGTGGCGTTACAATAAAAATGCATTATTATATTTCCTGAAGTTACAACTTAAAAGTTGTGGTCATAAGATTAATTTAGAACCGCATTATTAACAAGATTATTAGGTTAATCCTTCCACGTCGGCGCGTGAACTGAAAACGTATTTATTTATTTATTTGTTTATTTTTTAATTGGATTTAACATGTGTATAATGATTTTGATAAACAATTATAATTATATGTACTATCTATTAAACATTCAAAGAATGAGCTTCCTTATGATGTGGTCATATTAGTCGGGCAAATCCTGGCGCTACCCCTGTTCCGAGCATGCATATAACGTAATTTTTTAGATATATGATATTTTCATGACAGTCGAGAATATACTGATTATATAACTTATAGATAATTACTGTTGTCAGATTGTGTGCATTAAAAATGTGACAACGGACTCGGGATACGGACTTCGGTTGACACTCATATCGAAGGGCCTGTTAATTACCTTATGATTTAGGCCTAAGGAAATATAAATGTATATGGGTCTGAACTTTGTAGGTGACAAAGTGTTCTTCCTTATGGATGTTGTGGTCATATTAAAACATAATATCATTAAAGACCATTCAACAAACAACATCAGTGAAACATAGGCCCTATATCAAACTTTTAGCTTAAACTTTCCGCTTCCGAGCATGCATATAACACAATTTTTTAGATATATGATATTTTCATGACAGTCGAGAATGCATAGCCTACTGATTATATAACTTATAGATAATTACTGTTGTCCGATTGTGCCAGTGCATCAAATACGTGACAACGGACTCGAGATACGGGCCTCGGTTGACACTGATATCAAATGGCCTATTAATTACCGTAACCTTGCACAGGAGCCTGACGTCCTCTTCCTTATCATCATCATCACATCATCATCATTATCATCATCTTCATCATCGCAATATTAATTGTCCATGGTAAAATGGGGGAGAAATATTAATTCGGTATGTATTCATTCATCAATAGAAGTCTCGTAATGCACGTATGTACATTTCTCAGCATCTAGAAAAAGCAAACTTATATATATATATATATATCTGTCTCTTATACACATCTAGATGTGTATAAGAACGCGATTCTATGGAAACCCAGCTGAATTTGTAATTTTTCAATGGTTAATATATCCGTAGAGTTCCCTGCCCAGGTTGAACACGCGTAATTGATAGAGAGCAATCAATAGTATGTCACCATACTCTGTATTCTGTTATAGTCATCCCGTCCCTTAAGAATTTACAGAATATATCTTATTATTTTGTGACCATTCTTAACAACTTCTTTTCGATGGTTATGGTCTGTTTCTAGACATGGTATACCCTGATATTTGTATGTCTCGACCTCGGATATATTCTCATTACCAAGCTGCCATAGTATTCTTTGCTTATTTACTTTCTTACCAGTTATTAACACATTAGATTTTTCTTGATTAAATTTCAATTGAAATGTCGTACTGAATTCGTTAGCTACATCTAACATTTTCTGTAATTCATTCCCATCATTGGCTACAAGATGGTTTTACTAGTAGTTTAGTTAACTCATTAATATAAATTGAGAATAAAATTGGAGACAGGACGCATCCTTGTTTTACGCCTTCATCTACATAAAAAAAATCTGTTTCGACTACTCCTAATTTCACTTTACTTTTCACATTCGTGTATAGTTTTTGTAAAATCGACCACACTCTGCCTCTTATCCCCATTTCCCTGAGGTTAGAAGTAATTTGTCTCTCCATACTGTGTCAAAAGCTTTGCGGAAGTCTAGGAAGGCCAAGTTATCTCCTCCGTTTTTTATTATTTAATTTGTAATCCCATCTATAATGGGGCTTTATACTTTTGATTTTACCAATTACCGATACAATTCCAACAATATCAAAATCAAAATAATTTAGGCAGTCATCTTCATGACTTTCTCCTCTTTCGCATTTCTGTTTTACATCCTGCAATATTTTTTTGGTTTCTGTTAACGTTGCAGAATCTTCAAAAGAAACATTACTGTGGCCTAAATTTTTCCAATATTGGTGTATTGATTGCTTGATTATCTCTCTATTAGTTGGTACGTCAGAATTTGGGATTTTTAGAGCTGAAATTTAACTTTTGGCGTTTTATGGACCTCTAAGATTTTCCCAAAACTGTTTACTACTAGTCCCTCCGGGTTTTTTTTAATCTCTATACTTTTTTTTCAATCAGCGTTTTCATTACTTTACGTTTAATCTCGTTTTTAACTTTGAACGTTTTTGTTGGTATTCATTCCAGAGCTCATTACACTTGTCTTCGTTATTATTTTTTATTTTATCGTATTGCCTGTGTTTAATTTTTAATTTAATTTAATCCTCCTATTAAATGAGCTGTTCAAGATTTTATTTGAATTCTTGAGTTATTTTCCCTGGTATTTTCAGTTTGTTGTGGACTGATAAGCGCTAAAAAAAAAACAGAGCTAAAGAGGGCTCACTCATAATGACTAAGTAACTGAACAGCTGCGATTGCCTAAAATAAAATTCATACGGCGATCAGTGTCTCGGGAAAACTACAAGCAGTATAATTAATACTTAGCCTGATTCATTTTAACAAAATGTCTGCACCACCCCCATATTCCCAGGTAGGTAGAAATTTTAGATCAATTTTATACCAATTTTCAATACAATAGCGATTTCTGTGGTGTGATATAACCCTGATAAAAACCATGAAATGACAAAGCTAAAGCAGCCAAGTGGTTGCTTTCTTCTCACAAGGTATGTTTTTTTTTTCTTATTTCCTGTTCCTGTTCAAGGCGATATTATACTTTATACCTCCTTGGCATGTTCGTGTACGTGTAGATCACTGTTTCCAGGATAGTTGAAGGCCACATTGTAGGCCTAGCATTTAAGAGAAGCAGTAGTATTTGTTACTGTCTCTTATACACATCTAGATGTGTATAAGAGACAGATGTATATGTATGTATATGTATATATATAATAAAGATATATTATATATATATATAAGTTAATTATAATAATTAAATTTTGTATCAGTATTAGCACATATAGTTCTCGATACTAAGCTGCCGAGCAGTGTCATGTATAATTATTCTGCAATGGTTTCTTGTGGCTTAGTTGTTACTCTGAGTTTGGCACCCTATGGCGGTCATCAGAAAACTGGCAGCCTAAGGTTGTTCTTGTTGTAATACCCATTTGTGTCACCCGTTTCTTTCCCTTTCATATTTAGATTTGTTGTGACGGCACATTTGTTTATTGTGTTGGGCCCTTTCATGCATATGATGGAGAATAGCTTACATTCCCCTGATTTGCGCATGTGTGTCTGTTCGATTTCTTTAGGATATCCAACTTTATTGATTATTCATTACCTTTTCTTTTTAGTTGCCAAAAATGTGTTTTGAGAGTTTGGTTTCACTTTCTTTTTCGTATTTCTCGTGTCTAATGATTATTCCAATGTTCTTCATGCAACTCTGACTTTTATGTGGTTTTTGTTGAAAAATTTACGCGACAGTCAGGGGACGTAATCCCGAGCGGGGTGGGTTTGGGAGGGGGGGCTCCCTACGTAAGAAAAAGAATAGAAAATTATGACCTTTAGAGTGCATTTAAAGATATTTAAATATTGGCATTCTGTCTTCAAAGGAACAGTGTTGAATTGGCTATCACAAAGGTATTGTAGTTATTATATATAGCCATGCCCACGGCTATGGTTGTTTACTCACATTATTATTCTAGGCTATGCAGATGCATCTGCATCTCTTGCCTTAATCTAGTGTAAATTCTACGCTAGATCCTCCGAATCGAATATTGGTTGAAATATCTGTCTGGTTAAGCATCCGTCATTCATGTTCATTGTTAAATTCTGTCAGATTATCAAATTTTCTATGGCAAAGAATTATTCACGATGTGCCTGTATTATGGTCATATTAATGACCATATTTAGGCATGTCACTTGTTTTGTCGAATAAAATTTTATAATCTGGGACAAGGCCTTACGTTTACAAATGTTTTTTTTTTTTGTACAGCAAGGCTACGCCCCTCCCGTTCAGCCAGGTTATCCACCTCAACAAGCATATCCTCCTCAGGCTCAACCAGGCTACCCGCCTCCACAACAAGGCTATGCCCCTCCACAACAAGGATATGCCCCTCCACCACAAGGATATGCCCCACCACCACAAGGATATACCCCTCAAGGACAACCAGGGGTGGTGGTGGTATCAACGGCAGCTGCTCCTCAACCAACGGTAGTACACACTACAACTGTTGTGAATCGGCGGTAAGTACACATTGTGTAGATCAAATATACAGTAGGACCCCTATCAAGGAGACATCTTCGGGACCAAAAAAAGAAAAATTCCCCCCCCCCCTCTCCCTTAATAGGAGTGTCCCGTTAAATTTTGTTAACACGCAAATACATAAAAGCATTATTTAACCAGCAGATTTAAACACCAAATTTAATATTCGTTGTCGATCGATAAATAAACAATACCGGTATATTATTTCATATGACAGAGCCATTTTATGTGACATCCAATTGTACCAACTCAATTATTCTAATGAGTCTCGGATAATTTATGCGTTGACAGTGTCGCTTTCATTTCTTTTTAGTTCCTATGCATGTAATGCAATAGGAACTATTGTAATCACTCTTGCTATTTCCTATGTTTTTTATTGAGGCAGCCGACTATCGGGTACATAACGACTATCTAGCTTTCCACAAAAACTTGAGACCTAAGCTAGGCCTAGTTCAGTATTACTGCGATGCAAGGGTAGGCCTAGTTAGATCGTTCAATCAATGATATCGTGTTATCGTCTAATACAATTAAATAATGTGTGTAATATTTAAGAATGCACCACGTGGGTCGCTTTCTTTGTTATGCGGTTGTAGTGTAGTATACGTAGCAGAGTGACGACAGCAAGCTAAGCCTAGCCCAGGGCATAGATCGTGTAGGTTCTTGATAATCGTAATGAAAACTTCGGGTGATAGACGATTGGGCCCAACTGGTGTGGACGATCGGACCCAAGATATTTTCAAATAAATTGTAGTCCTAATAGCAGGCCACTGCCAGCACCCCCACTTCCGATATCGTTCCAAACTACGTACTGTAAAATGAAAATACTGTATACGTAGCTAGGCCCTAAGCCTACGATATTTTTTCAAAGAAATTTGCTAAAAATGTTACTGTAATTTGCCTGTCGAATTACATTACCAATGTAGTCTGAAATCACTATTTTGGGCCATAAAGTCCCCCTGTATTTTTCAACCACCACACAAATTTGACCCAACCATACATATAAGTATGTATGTTATAATGTATGTAT